GCCGTTTCGAGGGTCAACCTGTCGAACTACGATGCTACGATAACGGTGGTGAAACCGATGGCAAAATCCAACGGTCTTGGTAGCAGATGGGGGCCATCGCTACAGTTTTGCCAGACGTTCTTTTACTTGGAGTCGACAGTGCGTACTTGGCGCGTAGTAGGCGCCTTCCTCGATCGATAATGCTAATTTCGATACATTTTTTCTGTATTTTGACGTTTTGTGTGCCGTTTTGCTTTTTCTTGCGGTTGTTTAGCCCAAAACTTTTCCTTTTTGTATGGATTACTGCTTTTGCTCACTAATGAACCCACTTGGTGCTTATTGCCACTTTCAAACAGTGTATGAACCTAACCATTCTAGGACAGTTGAAAAGCAATGATTCACACGAAAAAGAAAAATAGGTTCTCGCCAAAAAAACACGAGCAAAAGCCAGTCGACGCCTTCCAGTTCGATAAATTCGATTTCATTACATTCTATTTGTGTTTTCCTGGTGCTCCTTGTGCCGTGTTGCTTTTGCTCGTGTTTTTTGGCGAGAACCTTTTTTCTTTTTTGTGTGAATCATTGCTTTTCAACTGTCCTAGAATGGTTAGGTTCATACACTGTGTTTGAAAGTGGCAATAAGCACCAAGTGGGTTCATTAGTAAGCAAAAGCAGTAATCCATACAAAAAGGAAAAGTTTTGGGCTAAACAACCGCAAGAAAAAGCAAAACGGCACACAAAACGTCAAAATACAGAAAAAATGTGTCGAAATTAGCATTATCGATCGAGGGAGGCGCCGACTGCGCGCCAAGTAGCGCGTGTTGACGTTTTTCACCCTGTCCGAGCCGTCCGCGCGGACGGCGCGGACGGCGCGGACCGCACGGACCGCAGACTATGAAAGCAGCCTAAGGGAAGTCCTGGTCATGGCAGAATACACAAACATTTCCTGACGTCAACCCTTCCAAGAATTGAATGTTAACAACACTTGAAAATTCGTAGGCATTCCGCCCCCCCCCCCACCACCCACTTGTGTGAGCTTTGTCCTATTACTCTGCATAATCGTCGTTTCAGTCGATGCATTCTTTTAGTTGCAGTGCTGTTTTATAAAACCTATTTTATTCCAGCCCCTTCCCATATTGCCCCTGCAGTGCGTGCATTCATTAGTTTTTTTTTTTCAACCGAAATGCTAGTATGCAATGCACGTAAATAACTATTGGGTTGTCCAGAAAATCCTGCGACACTTTGTCCAAGATTTTTGATTGCACCTTCTTTTGTTGAATGAAATATTCAATCAGCAAGATTATCACCATTACATATAGGAGACGTACACTTTTTCCGGGCAGCTTCTCAACTCTCTTACTTTAGGATTCCGGCGTTTGCTTTGAAAAGAAGCGATCGATCCCATTTTT